GATACCCTTTAGATCATAATTGTTCTTTATTTCATAAATTACGGTTTCATATTTTTAATTTTAGAATTTCTGCATGCCATCTCACGAAATTTAAACTGATGATCTATAATCCGGAAAAATCGATAATCCGGAATCGCCGAAGTCCCGATGAGTCCGGATTAACGACTTTTGACTGTAATCTATTATGGAGGTTCACTAAGAAAAGGTTTTGGTTTAGGTTGCTTATCAAGAGAAAGGTTTCAATGCTTGAAATTTTGAGTTCAGGTTCGAAATTAGCTATGTCATCAGTGTGAAGCAAGCCATATGACACAGACTGAGCTAGAAATGATGCAGTCCAGAAACATTACTATTTTTAGAATACAGAGATGAAATACCTAAATAAAAAATGAGGCATTAAGAAGCTAGTCCTAAATTAAATTATAAAGCTGATTTAAACATTTTTTTTAAAATCTTACATGTGAACACACACACACACAGAGGAATATTATTATTGATAATCCAGCAAAAATAATGTTCTGTGTTACAAGTAGTGATTAAATTACAAATCTTTTTAAGCTGTTGTGCAAATATATACCCTATATTTTTTTAACTACTTAAAAGATTTTTAACTTCATCTTCACTACTTGCAACACAGAACATCCCTTTTGCTGGATTATCAATAACACCATTCCTGTAATTAACACCTTACAGACTATTAACATACAAAATATTAACTGCAATAACTTTGAAAACTTATATACTTCTCTTCCATTATAAGTAATATTTATTAGTCATCTTGAACTTCCAGAATACTTTCCTACAATACTCAATATTCTACACTTCAATAAACAGAACTTCCTTCACTGCACTATTTTTAATAATTACATTTAATTTGAAAATAAAATTTTTAAACAAGTTACAGGTATACCAATGGGAGCTCATATGTTTACTAGTATTTGTAACTTTTTTTTTTGTTTGTTCAAGAATTTAAGTTTCAAAAAACACTACAAGAAAAAGATTTAATTTATTATGCACGTACTATCAGATACATTGATGATCTCATCACTTAATAATTTAAACAAAATAGAAAATTCCCAAATTTAATCATTCCAAAAGCCTTATTCTTAATAAAACTAATTCTTCACAAAATGTTATCAAATTTCTAGCCTTATTCTTAAAAAACTAATTCTTCACAAAATGTTTCAAAATTCTAGCTTGCTAGATCTTCAAATAGTTAACTACACACAGATTAAACTATGTCAAAAACCAGGAACTTCAAATTTGCAGCTAATAAATTAATTAATTAGACTTCAGACATTTTCAGATAAGTAATTAGTAACACAGTAATTAGTCAAATATGACGAATCAAAAATATTTGAACTAATACACTAGATATTCAAAATGAGATATTAATATTTATTCAAATTTTTAATAATTTGGTAACATATATATATATTAATTTTGGTCTTTAAAAAGCAGGCCATACATACTCAATTTAAATCTGCTGACTAGCAGGGTTATGATATTTTTTTCCTAAACCAGCAAAAGGCAGAATAAGTTGGATGTCTGTTAGATAAAGTTTGTGAATTTTGTAATTAATTTTTGTATATATTGTAAATTAAAAGTTTTTTTGGCATTCTATTCTTCTACTAACTAATGGGCCTATTTTATATTTCTCAATCTGGTAAATACCCCTTTACTAGTGAAGATAACTTTTTCTTTATGCTTTTTAAAGACTTACCAGAAATAACTTAATTTCTTCTGTTTGATTAGAAATTTTTACCAAGAAACTAGTCTCTAATGTCAACTTTAACTAAATAATAAGTTTCTTTCACCAACATTATAGCTTCAGTATATCAAATAGAGTACATCACGTCACCAACCACTACCTTCTCCCAGTAAATATGACAATCCTATTACATTCCATCACTGACTAGATTTACATTTACAGCTATTTTGTTTCAAATTTTGCAAACAAATATGTTAATTTTAATTTCCTTCCTGTCATTGGATTTGTACCTAAACTGGTATTTAAATACCTACTTCTTATTTTGTGCTTAAATATAAAACAATGTATTAATTTGCACATATTTCTATTGTTTTCAAATAATTTTCTTCTTTTGTACATATTTTAGTTATTTTATATTAATTTGTATACAGGTCTCAATAGTTTTTCTATTGTTTATACTATACTGCGAGAGTGTTGGGGAATATTTTTTCTAAAGTGAGGATCTCACTTAATTCAGTTCTTAACAAGTACCTTAAATAATAATAATAAAAAAAAAATCTTACTCATTTTTACTTTTGGTCTTGTTTATGGCAAATATTTTTGCTCAAGCAAAATAATTATCTTTCTCATTTAGAGTTTTGTTTGTACCTTATGATTTAACTCTAGCAAAATAACTAATCTGATCCTTACATGAGGGGGGAAAAAAAAAAGATAAAACATTTTCACTTAATTTGGTTATTGTTAACCGACAGTGGGTTGGTTTTCTTTTTCCTTGCCAAGTTAATTAATCTATGGTCAATAAAAATGGCTACATTTTTAGTACTTAAATTTTACTTTTTAATTTTACTATTTAGAATTTTTATGGTTTAAAATAATACTTCTATACAGTTTATTAAAATATTTTTACTACATCGAAAATAATTTATACCTAAAATAATGACTCATTTATTACAACAATTCATCTTATTAATTAAATTCATACTCATTGAAGATGATAAAAGAATAATAATTTAAAAAAAATTATAAAAAAATAAAATTTTTCTATTAATATATATTATTATAAAAAAATTTAAATCAAAAATTAAAAAAATTTCTATTAATATATAAATCTTTTAACCCGCGAGAACTAGCACTGGGTATGATATGACCGATCCATTTTCATTCAACATTTTTGTTACTTTCTCCTTATCAGATTAGGCCAAAATTTCGTATAGCTGTATTCAAAATTCAAAATCACATTCTTTCAGCAGGTGAAAACTAGTTCAGTTCTAAAAATAGATTTTGAGAAAGAGGTGTCGGGAGTATATCATACCTGTGCTAGTCCTTGTGTCAGTCCGATCTTTCCTTTTTTTCTCTCAGTTTTATGAACTATGATGCACTATTTGAATTACGATGTAGAAAATTAATGTTTTCAACACCTTATCGAGACTGTTTCTAGTGGTGATGAACCTATATCTGATGATAATGTTGCCTCTGCAGATCAAAAATACTGTAGCAATCACGATTCTTCTACTGATATTGAGACAGAGCGAGAAGATGAAAGTTCACTGTCAACAACCGATTATTATATTGGTAAAAATAAAGTTACAAAATGGCAGAAGGAAAAATACTGGCAAAATGTTAGGAAGCCTTCAAGGAATATGATTAGCAAGCTCCCAGATAATAGAGCTTATTCAAGAGATATCGCTTCTCCCGTAGATGCATGGAATGCTCTATTCGATAGCAACATGCTAAATATGATAGTGCACTGCACAAACATTTATATTGAATCGATTCAAGAACGTTTTACTCGAGAGCGAGATGTAAAAAAGACATATGAAATTGAAATCAAAGCATTTCTTGAATTGTTATACTTATGTGGAATTCATAAATCATCCCACACTAACTTCAAGGATTTGTATGCCACAAATGGAACCGAGATTGAAATATTTCGTAAAACCATGAGTCGCATTTGATGGGATGTCTATGCTTTGACAATATCAATGAGCATCAAAGTAGAAGAGCGATAGATAAATTGGCTCCTATCAGAGACTTTTTTTGAAACATTTGTTACAAATTGTAAAAATGCATATAATGTTGGAGAATTCGTCCCAATTGATGAAAAACCAGAACCTATTCGGGGGCGGTGCGGATTCCGGCAGTATATGCCCCAAAAGCATACTAAGTATGGCATCAAGATATTTGCACTAAAAGATTCTAGAGTATTATATACTTGGAATATGGAGATTTATGCTGGTCAACAACCCGATGGACCTTTCAAAATAGACTGTAGTTTGAAAGCCATTGTGATGAGGTTGATGACACAGCTTTTCAATTTTGGATACAACTTGACAACTGACAATTGGTATACTGGATATGAACTAGCACAAGAACTTTTAAAAAAGAAAATTACAATGGTTGGAACACTTAGACAAAATAAAAGAGAAATACCGCCTGAATTTTTGGTGAAAAAGGAGTTGTACTCTTCAGTCTTCGGATTCCAAAAAGAAACAACAAGTGTTTCTTATTCTGCAAAAAAGAACAGAAATTTAATTGTGTTATCCACAATGCATACTGATGATAAAATAGACAGGATGACCATGGAATTGAAAAAAAACCAGATATCATCACGTTTTATAATCTTACGAAAAGAGCTGTGGATGTCATCGACGAAATAGGCTGCACCATACACTACAGCAAGGATGTCGAATCACTGGCTAATGAATATTTTATTTTCTATTTTGAATGTGGCTGCTATTAATTCCAGGATTTTGTTGATGTCTACAAAACATCCTCCCACACTGTTTAGAAACAGATGTTTCTTTTTAAAGACACTGGGACTCGGTTCTTTTAGAGCAACACAGAAAACGTAAGCCTGAAAGAAAAACAACTTATCCTAGCACTTTTAAGGAACTGGAAAATAGTGAACCACCTGTAAAAAACTCAAAGCAAATTATAAATGACGTGCATTTTGTCCATGTAATAAAGACAGAAAATCAAGGTTTATGTGTCAAAAATGTGAAAAAAGTCTTTGTGTTCAACATCAGTATGTAGTTTGTCAAAGTTGTCTTTAAACATGTTAAGTATGCATAATTAAATTCACTAAAATCTTTAATGTGATATTTTGTAATATTTAATTATGTTTGGTTTGCTTATTATTATTACAGTATTAATTACAATATTACTACAGTATTAATTCATATTTAAATAGCAGAAATGTACTAGGGCATGAGATACCTGGCACAAGTTCTCGTGTTTGAAAATGAGTGCATGCTCTCATGGGTTAAAATAAACTGACAACTTTCATACTTACCACAAGTTTTGGGCTCATCAGAATTATCACCGCAATCATCATCACCATCACATTCCCACACTTTTGGTATGCATTTAGAGTTGTCACAGAGAAACTGATTGGGAAGACATGTTTTAGGAGCTGAAAAAGGATAAAAAACAATTAAGCCACAAAATATCTATGTGGTGACCATTAGTCCTGGATTATTCCCGGCAGTCTTGGATTCCAACTCTGTGTTCTGCATGGATACTAGAATTAAAAAATCCTCAAAATTAAATTTAGTTTCTCTAGTATATGGATCGTATTATTTTGGGAGCCTTGCAGTGTTGGCATTGGGCATATAATTGTGCCAGATGAAGCATACTTTTATGTGTGGAGAGTGACATATTGGCAATGCTGTTGCAAATATGTCAACATGCCTTAAGTGTGAGGACAGCATAGAACTTTTTTCCAACCACCAAATAGACTTGCCCTACATTGCCACTTCCTATCAACTTCATGGCACTAATAAATCACTAAGCTCAATTAGCACATCTCTTCGTAAGTAATCCTACACCTGCACTGGTGATATGACTTGCATTTCTGGCAAAATGGTCAGGAATTGGTGTCTTAAAAGGCTGATATGATGAGAAAGGCTAATGGTTCTTTATTCTCTCATGAGCTCTTGGACCATATACCCGCATTCACAATCATGAAGACTAGTATGTGATAGTCACATAGTAGTCTTCCATGCCAGATGACAGCAAGGACAGACCAAATTAAGCACATACTCCAAATATCAACAACTCAATATTACAACTACTATGACCTCCAAATATATATCTCATACATATATATTATCAACTAAATCAAGTGCAACCATAAAGTATTTTTATGGGTTAGAAAAACAAACCGTGAAGTAAAATGTCTAAAATTTTCCAAATTAATTTTTTTCAGAATCCTTCTGAATGGCATTAATGATGATACAGGGAAAAAAAAAACTTTCATAATGCAGACAAAAATTGGTTCTAATATTCACTGCCTTCGAAGCAATTCAACATTTTCAATTATTTACAGTGGATGAAACACAAGACATTACATGACAAATTGAGTCGCCAAAACATACGAAGCCTAATCAAGCAACAGCATCTTCCCACAGTGTGATGCAACATTTTTGCAAAAAACAAATTCAATGAAGAGGAAGGACAGCATGTTCTGAATGAAGCAGTATTTTCATTCCACATAGTCACACACAATCAGTCATTTAGATCTATGGATTGTACATCAAAATTAATCAAAGTATTTTTCAGAAAAAAATTTGTTGTGCATGTACAACAATTAAGGCAATAGTTAAAAATGTGATAATGTACTTCATAATCTCCACTCTGAAAATCAAATTCGAAAACACTTATTTTATAACCATATATAAAAATAATTCAAACAAAGGTTTAAAGTTATGTCTGATCCTCATTTGATATATTGATCACAAAGAAAGTGTTCAAACTAAAATTCTAGTTTTAATCAGTCTTCCTGGAGAAACACTGGAAATAATCACCAAGTCTTTTATTATTGATATGTTAGATTCAGACAACCTGACAAAGTTGAATAATAAGTTAAGTCACCAAACAATAGGAATAAGCTGTGTAGCACACATAATCAAAGCAGTTCAAATTGCATCAGATACTGAATGATATCGATATCATTCAGATATTAGTATCAATATTGTGACAGATATTGAATGATACTGAAAGGAGATACTGATTGATAGATATTGATTTCTTCAAAGTAAATACAGAAGGAATAATTGGAAATACTTATAATCACTTTTATATTTACATATTTTTAGCAGAAAATCTGAATGAATTTTGTGCTGCAGATGCAGAGGCAGAATACAAGCATTTACTAGGAATGTCCAAGACAAGATGGCTAGCTCTACTAACCATAGTTGGAAGGGTGTTACAATTGTTTAAGCGTTTAAAATCATATTTTCTTTCAATTCATACATGTTTGATAGTTTAAAAAAATTCTTTTTAAATTAACAAGATGAACTTTGGCTTCAATTCCTCCAAACCCAAGCATCAGTGTTTCATACTTTAATAAAAGGAACTGAAGGAGAAGAAAGAAAAATTGTTGAAATTTCAGAAGAAATCAAAGGTCTTATTTTTAAACTTAAAGAAAGAATTGATTCTACATTTCTATCTCAAAGTTTAAGGCCTATTAAAAAAATATAAAAGAAGATGGAAATACAGACTAGAAATGATTTATTTATGAAATTATAAATATACAAAAATTTTTCTTATCTAGAAGTATGGGTTAAGGAAATTACTAATTTTAAACAAATTAATTTAAAATGTCAAGCAGTAAAAAGTTATCTTAACAAAACTAAGTAGTAAAAAAGTTTTCTTTTCTTTTACTGCATGAAAAATTATCTCTCTCTCTCTCTCTTTTTCTTTTAACTTGTTAATAAATTTTTCTGCTTCATTCAATATCTATTCAGAATTATTTCAACCCAAAATTGTTTTCTTGTGGATTTGACACACATGTTCCATATATTCTAGTGCTTATAGTTTAAATTTTGTAACATAACTGAAACCTGGTATTATTGCCTCCAAAATTAAGAAACCACAGTTACTTCTTGAGCTAAGAGTGGAAGTTTTATAAAAATTACAGACTAGCTTAAATGCCTCAATTCAAAACTGGCTGAATAGTGAAAATGACATGTAAATACAGAGATAACTGTATATATCATTAGTGTCTACATTATCCTTTTACAAAGGATGGTTTGAAACAAACCCCAGGCAAAATGACACTGAAGCAACATTCAACCCTTGCAACTGTTATGCATTTTCAAAAACAGGAGTAAGACCACTTCTACAGAGCACAAATATTTTGCAATTTACAGCTGCATGACCACATCATATTATGCTGAAGGCAATCTCTAGAGAGTGCTGCTGTTATTTTCTGCATCCATTATGTTTTGTCACCACCACCAAAGTCTGCTATTCTTGTTACTCAGCAGAACATGCTATTCTACAATAGCTGGCTTACTACTGAACACACTAAATTGGGTTTTATATTTCTCTATGCATTATAAGGTATGAAGTGTTGTGTTTAAGAACCTACACCCTTCTCATCTCAAAGGAAGAGTGAAAATAATGGCCTTGAAATGCACATGCAAATACAAATATAAAAATTCAGAACTGGTCTTTTCTTTTTCTTTTTTTTTGGGGGGGGGGTGGGGGTGGGGATTAGGAAGTAAATAAAAAATTTTGAAATCATAAGCTGAAACTGCTAGACAGAAACAAAAAATAGGAGGGAAACTACCAAAGCATATGCATTTTTAGAGTGGTAGTACAGCCCAATTTTCAACTAGCATACACACCTTTTATTGTGGGTATATTATGGAGCAATATTAGTTTCAACTAGCATTTAGCATAATCAACATGTTGTTTTCTTTCTGTTGCATTTATTTTATTTGAACATTTAGTTAGGGGGGAAAAAGCTTCAGAAGAGCCTTCCTATCATGAAATAATGTAATTTAAGCCATATTTAAATAGTGAAATAAAACCATGAAATTTTTATTCAGCAAATCAGATTGTATTTAATTTATACAGAGTGAGTTTAGAACAGTTAATGAAAGAGTTTTTAATTTACTTTCTTATCAAAATTTTAATTATACACAGAATCTCTACACTTATTACAAATAGAGAAAATAATCTCATGATTTCTGGCTTTATAGGCTATGAGTTTTATGCATTTTAGAGTTCATTAAATGATTTAACTACACTAAGGCTTTCATTTAAATAAAAAAAAAAATTTCCTTGTTATTTAAAGACATTATTTTATAGCTTTATAATAGTATTCATGAACTTTGCTTTTGTACAGTAGAACCTTAACGCTCTATTTCATCTTTCAAAGCTATATCTTGCTTTTTTGGATGCACTGCAATAGAAAGATTTATTTCTATTTCATATGATGATAACCATATGAATTAGATATAGATGATTTATCTCAATAAATCGATATATATTACTCTATGGTAGATAATTTTCATTTGAATGGAAAACAAACATAATTTCACAAATTTTAGGCCATTATTATACTATATTCAATTTGTTCTGAAGTTTTTAATTTCACAGTAAATTTTTTAAGCTTGATAATTAAGCATGAATTTGCCATCCTTTCTGAAATGAGTAATTTGATTCCTGCAAAATCATGAAAATGAAAATTAATTAGAAAATAAATACTTCTGAATATCTTTTCTTGACACAATTTTAATACATAAAGTAACAAACACTAAGATAAATAAGACCTTTTAGGAAAATATATACCAATTCTGGAAGATTAAGAACTGCTTTCCGTCTTAATTTTACAGAGCTGATCTCCCAAAATGTACAGGTTTTCTCTGTTATAACATAGCTTTGGATATTATAGGAGTGTAGTTGAAACCACATGTGAATGATTTACTAAGCAGTGAAACAAAAATTCAAGCATCAGCTTCTTTTCTCATAAATAATACGGTCTTGAAATAATGCACATCATTGCCAATGAATAAGAATAAGCTTATCAAGTTATAAGGAGCACCGCTACATGTACTTCTAAAGCATCAGCAATCATGTTTAATTTTAGAAACAACAATAAAATTAAAATTTAAAGAAATTATGTACATATATCACTGTATATTAAAAAAATACACAACATATAGATGATGGATTTTTATTTGTGTTTACAAGTAAATATATCTATATATTTACATTTTGTATGCAATGTTTTGTAATTTCAGTTTCATTCATTTTTTTTTCATATATAATTTGCTGATTTAAACATTTAAAATTATTTTTTTAAGCCCATTATCAAATAATTAACTAATACATGCATACATATATTTTTCTTATTTTTATCTTTGAAACTTTCATTACAACATGTGGACTCACTCATGACCCCAGCCCTTATACAGTCAAAAGTCTTTAATCCGGACGTCAAAGCTACAAACTTTCTGCGCATGCGTCAACACATGCGGATAATACCTTTATGCATGTGCATAATACATTTACGTATTAAACGTAACGGTCGATATAAGCTAAGCTAAAATTATCTAATTATCTATTTCAGTTAATGTTGTGGCCCACCAGCAGCCGAGTGGTAATGTCGCTGAACACTGGTAGTTCGGTCAGAGGTTCGAATCTCGCGGACAGGCTGGCTGCATGATTGTTTTTGGGGTTTTCCCCATGTGTAACGTGTATACGGGTCAGTTTCCCATAGAAAGTCTTCCACGAAGGCATCCCTCCCCTTAGGCAGAGAGCCCTAGTGTGCTTTGATATAATTAAATACACCACCACCTCAGTTAATGTTACAGATTGAGTTGTTCCTTAATCTTCTAATTGGATCCGGCTTATTATTTTTTGCAGACTGTTAGAGCAATTATATAAAAGTAAGCTTGAACTTTCGATTATGTCAAAAAGAATTTCCGATTATGGAGCTACCAAAGGATCTACAAAGCGAAAGCATGTTTCGATGTCCATCAAACAAAAAGTAGATAAAGGTCATATCCTTTAATTCTCTAATCATTCCGAAATATGTTTATCAATTTCACGCTGCTCTGCATTGAGGTGGGGGACCCGATGCGGCACGCAATGACCTGGAAGTTGATCTGTCAGCATCCTTATCTTGAGGGCAGATGTTTTTATTTTATTCGGCTTATAATTCCTTACTAAACGTAGTATTTCACCTCGATGTACTCTGTCTTTAATATGATTTAAATATTCAAATCCCTCATCATTATAAATATCACGAATACATATCAAATAGTTTTCTGGTTGCAATTTTCTAATTTCGACTATGCGTAATTTATTTACGCATGCGCACGTTGAAAGAAATGTTTAATAAAGTAAAGAAATAAATATAAAGCTTTTTTTTTGTAAATTTTGATACCCTTTAGATCATAATTGCTCTTTATTTCATAAATTGCGTTTCATATTTTTAATTTTATAATTTCTGCATGCCATCTTACTGGATTTAAACTGATGATCTATAATCCGGAATCGCCGAAGTCCCGACAAGTCCGGATTAAAGACTTTTGACTGTATTATAACAAAAAAGGCATTACACAAACACTGAAAAATAAACTGCATGGAATATGCAATTAATATAATTTTTTGAAGTTTCATAATATGTTTTAATGAACTACAAATATCTTAATTGATTTTTTTTGGAGGAGGATTCATATAAGTTAAACACTTACTGCAATTCACTTCATCTTCACCACCTAAGCAATCTTTAGTACCATCACAATGGCTAGCTAAACTAATGCAGTATGCTTGGGTTGTTCCATTTCTGGGACATTTGAACTGAGTCAAAAGGCAACTATGCTTATCTAGAATAAACATAACACATTCATAACAAAATTTACTACATTATGCAGAGAAGTACTTCAGCAAAAATTTTAGCTTCTAATTAATGTTCATAAAAACAAGTCACTAGAAAATATTACACATTACTAAATACATATACTGCCATCTATCTAAAAACTCATGGTCAGCAGACTGAGTTTATTTAGCATGAGATAACTTATTATTGAACACCTTACCTAAATCACACAGGATGCCTATTGTTGTAGCAAATGCATGCAGTATTTAGGTGCTTATTGTACAGGAAGAGATAACTAAAGCTTTAGTAATCAAATCTAATTATTGCGGGGTCACTGTTTACTTGAGAATCTTAATAAATGGTCTGCTCAAATTCTTGTTCGGTCACTCACATAAAACTAATTGAACATGCAAGAGTTTTGCAGGAATGTGCAGAACAGATGAGTATTGCTTATATAGTTCCCAGTTATTGAGTTGATACAGGGAGCAAAAAAATTATATGCGAACTATGATTATACTCTGAATTTATTTACTGCTAAAAGTAATCTGTTATACTTATAAAAAAACTACAGACAATAATTTAAAAGCATAAAGACATAGAAAGGATCTCAGAATGTATGAACGGACTCACAATTTCAGTTTTGGCAGCGAACGTGTTTGCAGAAAAACAGTTTTTATGTTTCATTAAAAATGCATCTAGATATCCCTATTTGCTTTCTTTTAGAGCAAGTAAAAGAGATATTTTTTAAGTAGCATTAAGCTTTATTTATTTATATATTTTAAATATTTCTGCTGATTTAAATAACATAAAAACACAATACAATACTCTGTATATATACAGTCAAATGGATTTAATCCAGACGTCCATAATCCGGAATAATCTATAATCCGGACCTCAAAGCTACAAACTTTCTGCGCATGCGCAATGCACGCACATAATACACTTACACATGCGCATATGCATTTACGCATGCACGCTTAATGTATAATGGACAGTATAAGCTAAGCTAAAATGATCTAATTATCTCTTTCAGTTAATGTTGCAGATTGCGTTGTTCCTTAAGCTTCTAATTGAATCTGGTTTATTATTTTTTACAGACTGTTAGAGCAATTTCATAAAAGTAAGCTTGAACTTTCGATTATGTCAAAAAGAATTTCCGAATCTGGAGCTACCAAAGGATCTACAATGTTTCGATGTCCATCAAACAAAAAGTGGAATAGCTGCAAAAAATGGATAAAGACATATCCTTTGATTCTCTAACCATTCCGAAATATGTTTATCAATTTCACACTGCTCTGTGGCAGAGGGTGGGGGAGGGATGACGCGGCGCGCAATGAACTGGAAGGTGATCTGTCAGCACTATCATTATCTTCAGGGTAGATGTTTTTATTTTATTCGGCTTATAATTCCTTACTAAATGTAGTATTTTATCTCGATGTACTTCATCTTTGATATGATTTAAATCAAATTCCTCGTCATTATAAATATCATGAATACACATCCAACAGTTTTCTGGTTGAAATTTTCTAATTTCGACTATGCGTAATGTATGCTTTACGCATGCGCGCGTTGAAAGAAATATTTAATAAAGTAAACAAATAAATATTAAGCTAGCTTTTTTTTTTTTTTTTTTTTTTGTAAATTTTGATACCCTTTGGATCATAATTGCTCTTTATTTCATAAATTACGGTTTCATATTTTTAATTTTATAATTTCTGCATGCCATCTTCCCAGATTTAAACTGATGATCTATAATCCGGAATCGCCGAAGTTGCAACGAGTCAGGATTAAAAACTTTTGAGTGTATTAAGCAATTAAACTAATATAAATGAATATATATGACATCTGGATTGGCCTAAAATTTTCAGTAAATATGCAGCGTGTAAAAACCAATGAAAAAGCAACTATTTAGTGTATGTACACAAAACGTGGCTATTAAAAAAGGTGGCAGAATCCGATTCTTATTGAACTTTTTTTTTGTTAAAATTGTGCTATATTGTGTATATCACTATAATGGATAGGTCATTATGGTGGAAGAGAATTAAATCACTCGTCATATTCACAATATAATCACTTTTATATTTAACAAAATAAATAAATAAATAAATAAATAAAATGTTACAAGAAGCATGCTTGGAAAGTGAGCATGAGAGAGACTACATTACTGAGATACAAACACGGTTACTGCTATATATATAGTTTCTTTACAGCTTTTATATGAAATATTGTAGCTAAATAAACATACACAGAGAATAAAATAATTCAAAAGTCAAATTACTCTTAAACTGCCACAGTATTCCTCCCCAAGTACTGTAGGTACTGACACAGTAAGGACTAAATCTCCCTACTCTAGCAGAAAGAGTTGTTTTCTTTGGAAGCAAAGCTGATATTGTGCTTGTTTCTGCTGAGCTAGTAGTCAAATTTGGTGAATTATTACTAGGAATAAATGGTACTGTTTGTGAGCTGCCACTAGGGATAACTGAAGTCGTTGGTGAACAGCCAACTAGGAGTAACTGGAGTCATTGGCGAACAGCCAACTAGGAGTAACTGGAGTCATTGGCGAACAGCCACTAGGAGTAACTGGAGTTGTTGTTGATACATTGTACTGAGTAGTGAAGGCTGTCTTCAAATGGTAAATTCCAATAACGGATTCTTTTCCATTCATCAGAATGGTGAAATGTCTACAAGTCTGTTTAATAATGTCATATGGACTATTATATGGCTGTCCCAATAGTACTTTTAACACTAACACTGCATACAAAAATATAAAAGCAAGTCTCTAATGAGTGGTGTACAAAACAAACGCTTTAATATGTATGGAAGTAGAAGGTGGAGATAATTCCCACATGGTGTTGCACAGATCCTCAAGCAAACTGCAGGATCCACGTGCAACAGCTACTTAGAAGGCTGTAAAAATTCTCCTGGTAAGGAAAAACAGGGTTCGTACACATTTCTGCGCATGGAAATTAAGTACTTTTAAGGACGTTTAAGGACCATTAATGAAAAAAATTAAGGACCTATGAGCAAATGGGAAGTGAATAAATTCAATTAAAAATATTATATATCCCTGAACTTCACTTTTGGAATACCATCCTAAAAATAAAATAGATCTGTAAGTAGGATGCATTATTATTGTATTAAACATGACTTAATTAACATAATTATTATTAAATCTGATAATAAAATATATGAAACTTATTAAGGAGCATTATATATTTTACATTTATAAGAACTGAACATATTTGAAAGGAGATAAGTGACATTTTATTTACGTTTTACTAACAGTTTTATGTTGATTTTATTTTATATCTCATTTTGTCACATATTTGTTCAGTCTAGAGCTTTAGTCAATAGTATGCAGATTTTATGTCAAGCGGCATAGGTTAAAATGAGAAGTAAAATCATAATCAGCATGATTCACAACAAAAAGCTGGCTGTTGTCACTGCTGCTGCTTACCTAGAGAGAGACCTATTGATCAGAAAAAACCTGAAAGGCCTGATGTAGGCACAGTTGGCAAGTTCTGAAAGTTAACTGATGTTGTTAATGTCGTAGCTTCGTGTAGAGTTCCAGGGGTTGTGACTCAGTAAATATACTTTACGGTTCTAATAAGCCACTAAAGCACCAGAGGTGATAAGTTGTTTTGCATTATTTTAAGTCTCACTAGATGCGAAAAAGTTTTACATGAATTTTTACATTTTTGTGTTTTATCTTGTGATTACGGTAAGGGTTAATGAAAGGCAATATGAGCCAACTTTTTCTGTGAAGACAGCACTGTCTCAGTATCAATTCCATTTTTATTTTTAGCATCAACTAATAAATTAAAACTTCTTCAGAAAATCAATGCATATGATAGGTTGACTAACTCTGGCAATTACGACAAGTGAACACCAAGTGAACATTTGCTGCAAATTTAAGTAAAGATACAAATGTTGATTATCAAAGGTTGGGATTTTTGTTTCGCTTGCAGACCAAAAGGACTTTTTGTTCCATAAAGGACCAACAGACTGTTTGGTGTGATAAACCGGAAGGACAGAAATGTCAGCTATATCAATCAAAAATTTCAATTTAGATGAACAGTTGGCCAAAAGAATGGGATTTAATGGCAGTCACATTATGGCAATAACAGAACTATTTTCCCTTGTACTATATAGAAAAAAGGGAAGTATATTTTTAGTATTAGAGCCAAAATTTATATGATAAAAGCATTGATTAATTGCCAGCTCTTTATAGTGCCCCTGGAATGACTGCAATTACACCCTTTATGATTTTAAAATTTCTTGTCTCTTGAGCAGCTATGATGATGCATAATTGCAACCAGTTCACTCCCCTCCAGAGTGAGCTGTGCAATTTGTAGTGATGGCACATTGCATACTGCATTAATTTGAGGAGACACAGCCAGATTTTGACTTTTGGCCACCACAACAGCCAACAGTAACAGTCCATTACTCAAAGCCCCTACTATGCTGCATATGATAGCAGGAAAATGCATGAGCCAGAAAGATTTCAGGAGTATTTCCTCTAAAGTACCAACTGCAAAGTAATGAGAAAGGAAAATTGATATAAAGGAAAAGTATGTATGTGCAAGCAAATGAGATGGATGTGAGTCAGCAGTTTCTATACCTCGCAGCAAAGTACATATGCCTGATTCTTCATGCTCTGCGTGAGATTCAATAAGATGTTTCTTTAAATTTCCAAACAGCTTATCAACAGGGGATTATCAATAACATTACTCATGGACATGAAGATATCAGCATCAACTGCTGCCACAATATGATCAAATTTAATTATTTCACAAATAACATTAGCTAAGGAAAACTGCACTTCTAATCTAAGAAACCATCATGAATTGGATTTCCATAATGGAACATACAGATTGGTTTTCCAGAAAGGCAGCGGCTTAAGCCCTACATGCATGATATGATTTCCACTGATGCTTTCGCTCGGATTAGTGAGTGGCATGATGAAACATATATACAAGAGACATACAGAGAATACAACAAAAGTAAATACATAAAACAAAATGCAATATACTTATTAAAACATAACGCACAATGTTTCCCCAAACACACATATTCAATGAGCAAAACCACAACACCTATGACAGAGAAACTGCAGCTAGTGAGTTGTAATGAATTGCATTTCAAATAATAAATTAAAAATACTCTTTAGTAAAAATGCAGAAATAGTACATGTAAGTTAAAAAAAATTGGCTTAACACCTACATGCACAATCTGGTTTTCACTGATGCTTTCGCTCGGACTGGTCAGCGACATGATGAAACATATATACAAAAGAAACACAGATAATAAAAAAAATTTAAATGAATACACAAAACAAAATTCCCAGTCAAAAAATTAAAAAAAAAAAAATAAATAATAATAAATAAATAAAAATCTGAAAGCATTCAGAATGTACGTTGTGCCCAAGTGGGTGTTTTCTTAACATTTTGTGTGTTAACCTTCATTTATTAAATATCATGTTCTTCGCACTTAAACAATAAAATTCAATTCAACAGAAATATCCCAAAATAATTTTTAAATGAGCATATCTTTAGAATTTCTAATACACCATTTCGTGCATTGGAGATAAAAATGTCCCCCCCCCATACAGTGCTGACAATTGCTCACTTTGAAATCGAGTTTGTTAATCAAAAATTCGTTAAAGTTTTATAAAATATGAAATAGATAATAAAACAAATTCCAAATTTGAGTTTCCAGATGCCCATATTCGGGTGGAAACATACGTTATTCAAAATTGATGGCTCTAGGTACCATTGTTTTATCACAATGCGAAAAAAATACATACATTTATGTAGATTCTTTATCATTTAACTTCTTTAAATATAATACAAGGCTCTAATGTTTGGTGGCAACAATTTGATAAGTGAACTGACATTTTCAATGCAAAATACCAAAATGAAATTAATAGTCCTTCTGGGCAAATTGCCCCTTTGGATTAAAAAATCTTCCTGAAAGTTTTACTGTTGTGCTTTTGCGAACGTACCACAATGTACAATGAAAGCAAAAGCAAAGAAATATCAACCACACAGAAAAGTACGTAAAAGAAGAGCTAATAAATATTTTAGGAAATTAAATAGTAATAAATAATTTGAAGTCTTCTAAATGACTTAATTTTTACATCATATTTTTAACAAATATTCTATATATTTATAAAAAAAATATATAACATTTCTTACCACAGTCTTTTTCATCAGACATATCTCGGCACTGTGAGACACGATCACAGATTTGATTAGGTTGAATACAATTACCATTGCTGCACTGAAATTGGCCAGGACTGCAGTGGAAGGGTGGGCAGTCAGGAGGCTCATCTGACATGTCACCACAATCATCTTGGGTATCACAATACCACCAACTTGGTATGCATTTATACGTTGCAGCACATATAAACTGTGAGCTGCAAAATGATGCATCACAAATCATAAAGAAATAGTAGATGTAATTTTCAAATTACATGATGTTATGTACGTAACATCAGCAAATACTGCATAAAAAGTTTCACACCGTTTCCATATCGGAAAACTATAAATGCTTTATGATTACACAGGTTGCCAAGCTGCCAAAGTGCCAGAAGTTAATTCAGCCTACAAATTAAGTCAGATTTCATATACAGTACAAAGTCCGAAATCCAGATGCCCATTATCTGAAATGATCTAAAATACGGACCTCAAAACCACCAACAAAGTTTTTTTCGCAGGCTTTACACATGCGCATTTGATTCCCCCCTCTGTGCATAATAAAACATCTGGAGAGACCCAATTCTTAATTTTACTTTGACACTAAATAAAATACCTTGCTATTGAAGAAACAATCATTTTAGCATAAATTTGTATGATCAGTAATTTGGCTCCATTGCTGCATATCTTCTTGGAACATTCCACATAGATACACTGTTGATCTGACGTCAACCTGGCGAATCATTATTTATTATACTTTCCTTTCATTATCGCATGTTTATCAAAACATGAAAAAATGTGAGTAATGACTCATGTAGTGATGCCTAAACAATTTTTTTTATGTTAGTAATTGAATAATAAAGGAGTATAGTAACATTTTATGCTGACATTACGCTTGGCTAAGATTACAGATTTAAGTTAAATGTGCTGAAAATTGTTGATGAGAAAAAATTTCTTTCCATATGCTAAAAATAGATTTTGTTGATGATACTCATAGACCCAAAGATTACATTTAAGGCTTTTTGAATTAAGAATAACTGATTTTTCACATAAACCAGAACCAGTGCGAGGGCTCGTATAGGCACAGAATTTAGAACCCACAGACACTGCATCAAGCGGTAAGATATCTAGCGCCGGCCCACTATAAGGCTTAAGTATATGTGGGAATTTATTTATTCAGAACTCTGATAAGCCTTAAGCATGTGCAAGAAAAAAAACATAAGTATAACAAATAACTAATACAAATTCAAGCTTAATTGTCTCAGTGCGTGATAGAAGCAATATAAAATTTAAGGGAACAACTTGTCGTTAGTTGCCAACCTTATGATGCATAGCCAAATATGCATAGTGAAGGACAGCTAAATTTGATGATGACATCCGAGAATTTTAGAGGTTTTTGGATATCGCAAAACAAAGGTGAAATTTTTCAATTAAAAACTAATAGATTTTGTAAAGAAATATGAAGCGGTAATAAATGAAGATGATAGATATAAAAGAAGTTTTCCATTGTGATGACAATGCCTCTCAATCATCAATCAATTAACGAATGGCAAAATCTGTAGTATGGTTCTAGATCCACCGCTACCGATAGTGAAGAAAGTGACAGAGAAGTTACTGAAAACAAGAAAATTTTGATTGACAAGTTAGTCGGAATTCTCGAAACAGCAGTTTCAGGACATCAACAATGTAACTAAACAAGAGATTATGTCTGTCTACAGAATTAATGAGAAAGTGTTAGCACAAAAAATGAAGCAACTTAAACTGAAAGGAATATTTAATAAGGTAAACAAATAAATATTCAGCTTTTTCTGTAAATTTTGATACCGTTTAGTTCATAAAATACTTCAGTATTTCATAAATCACGATTTCATATTTTTAATTTTATAATTTCTATATGCCATCTTACTAGATTTAAACTGATGATCTAATATCCGGAAAAATCCCAAATCCGGAATTGCCAAAGTCACAATGTGTACAGATTTCGGACTTTGTACTGGACAGCACTTTTTCATACTGAAGAGGGGGGACATTCTTTTCTGTCATTTGCTCTTATTATACACATCATGACAAAACTTTTGAATATGCGAAATAGAAAATTTACTGACTCAGAACAAATGAGAAATAAGAGTGTTTGGATCAAGAGATGTGATAGAACTGTTCGTGTTGCTTTTTATTGTGAATGTGTTATGGTTGGTCTCAAAAGTTGAAGTAGATCATCTGTTACAAGCATGCAAAACAAAATCAATTTCATTCAAAGTAAAGGAGTATCTGTTAAATATAACTCTGATCTTTCTCTCTATATATATCTATATATCTGTACAGAACCTTTGCAATGTATTACAGAAACCTTATATTAATTAATCAAATGATAACATGTTGCTCTGTGGATTGTTTCACTGATAATGTATATCCAAGCTTAACAGTTAATTTTCAAAAGCAGTTCTATACCATATTTTTAGATGCTATACATACGTTACATCAAATTTTTGGATGACACACACACACACACACACACACACACACACACACACACAAAAAAAAAAAAAAAAAAAAAAAAAAAGGCTTGTTGATGATGATAATAGCCGCCTATAAATTGTACACATATATATGAAGTTTCAACAACTGGGAAAAAGTAACAATAACCCCCCAAAGTGAGATAAATAAATAAAAATACAAAAGTCTTAATATTAAAAAGAAACTGAAATCTGATTTTTATATGCAAATTTCAGTTTAATAGTTAATTCTAAACTAAACAGTTATGATATGCCTATTAGTTTAGAAATTAATGCTAAAGAAATAAACAATATAAAACCAAATCTTATATTTAAAATGGGGTGGGGGAACAGTTATAACTTCATTTAGTTATAAGTTAATGGTAATAAATTACTTGAAAACTTATTTAATTAAAAAAAAAACTTAAATTTTCAAGATGTAGCTGCACATTTCTTTCAACAGACCTCTTGTGCACAAGAGTCTTGCAACAAATATTTCTCCCAAGTAACAATATTATTTTGCCTGGATATAAAATCTGCTCACTAAATGGAACAAACAAATCTTCAAGAACTTCTACTGGCTAAAGTTCTTCAAATTATATCTAAAAATAAAGACAGCAAAATGAGCACAGTGTCCCATGATTTCTCTCTGCTGTAGTTGACATTTTATGTTCAGCCATGGTCATGCTATAAAATAAATAGGCAGCACATGTACTCTTTTATCATTTAAAATTCTTTGATGTTTTAGGTAAAACTGTCAGTCAGATTTTCCAGATTATTACGTTGGGACTTTGGCAATTCCGGATTTGGGATTTTTCCGGATATTAGTACTGATATTCAATATGTTGATATGATTTGACCACCTCCTAGAGTCTTTTAGAATTTTTTGAATTCATCAAGGAAATTAAAGAAATCCCCAATGCTGTTGTTGGGATTCGAACTCTGGACCTCCTGATATGCATCAAGTGTGCCTCCAGTTACACAAAAAGGATATCAAGAAAGGAGGGAGAAAATACCTTATATACTCCCCTCTTTTAAAAGGTGACTAAGAAGGAAAGAACATATTCTTCAAATTCTAGTAGTGATGAATTATCGTACGCCACCTTTTTAGTTTGGGCACCACTGGTTGAGTCTTTTAGAATTTTTCACAGTCAGGAAATTCAAGAAATTTGCAATGCCCTCGTTGGAATTTAAACTCCAGACCTCCTGAATACATGTTGAGCATGCTTCCAGTTACACGAAGGCATGAAAAAAGGAGGAAGGAAATACTTTATTCTATTCCAGTCCATATACAGTCTATGTATCACAAATCTATAATCACAGTTTATGTACACACAAAACTTTCAGTTGATCTATTCATTGACATTTTTTATGACTGAGTATAATGCAGACAATTTATACATTAGTAGAGACATTAAAGGATCAGAAGAATTAGTACCCTAAAATGTATCACAATAAAAAAAAAAAAAAAAAAAAAAAAAAAAGATAAAGCCTAAAATTTAAACAATATTTCATTCATGGTGCAGCAGGCAGCAGAAACAAAAAAAAAAAAAAAAAAAAAAAAAAAAAAAAAGTAATAATGTTTTGAAAACTTTTGAAAGATATTACTTAAATCCAGCACGCTAAATGAAAAAATTCTGTTTGCTAGATATACTAAAATTCAGATTAATACAAATTTAATAACAGAAATACTTTCTTTGCAAGCATTGTTTCAACAGAAGATTAATTGAAAGTAGATATTAAAAGCATTCTTGTACACACCTGGTGCAGTTATTTCTACATGATTTTTTATCTTCTTCTAAAACATAATTCTCTGGGCAAGCACATGTTGCATTACCTCCTGGTTTTAAAAGGCAAAGAGTGGTACACTCTGCAGCCATGCATGGATTTAGTGTCTTCACTGGAAAGTAATAACTCTCACTTTACATTTAAACATTAATAATTAAATAAAACAAATGTAATATCAATACACATATTTTGTGCTTAATAAATACCTAGTAATGCAAAATAAATTAGTTATATATGATAATTTTGCTTCAGTAATTTTGCATTCGTAACAATGTAATTATTAACGCATTTATGATAATAAAAATATTATGATTTCAGTTACGTATAATAATTGCATGCTAAAAAGTAATGAATAAATGCTGAGTAGCAAACAAAATTACTTTTTAACATTTTAAATATTTAATAATGAAAATTCATTATTTTTAATGTTATAACAAAGGAAAAACAATCATTAAAAAATTATAAGATTCTGCTTATTATTTTAACTTTTCAAATATATTTTGTCTATGCATGAAGCAAATAATTATACCACTGCACTTTCAAATTCACATATATGGCACATTAACATCTATATACCAGATGAACTGTAGTGAAATAAAAAATATGACTCTCACATTGTATTTGCCTATATGGATGAAATACTTGAATATCCATTGGCCGATGAGTGGTAGTTGCTATTGTGGTGTAATTGTCACAATGGTATTTATGGCATCTTTCGATACTTTTAGTAACCCAATCTGTCCAATACAGCTGGTCTTCAAAAACCGTCAAAGCAAATATATGATGAACAGCATCATAAGGTCCTATAAAAAAGTCCTCTTTACTTTTAAATATATATTTTAATATCAGGTAATACTGATTCAATATAGCCAAAAAATACTTTTTATATTTGACATACATACATACACACACACACACACACAAAGAACACACACATATAAAACATAATGTTTTCACAGAGCTCAAAAATATAACTTGAAAATTTTTTTATTCAAAATATAAGTGCTTAATAGTATACAGCTTTTATGTGGTTAGTTAAACTATTAAAATCTTATCATATTTCAAAAGGGAATTACTACTTTATTTTGATAAGTTATATAATTATACAATTTCCTTTATTATACTATTTAAAAGTATTACAATAAAATTTTTTGATCATCAAAATAATGTTTTAATAGATAATTTGAAGAAGTAATTTTGTCTCTTTAGATAAAAAATAATCAACGAGTTACAATTTCATCATGATAAAGCTTACAACCTAATCTACCATTAAGTTTCTAAAAATGACAAAACAGAGATCAAATTGATATTCTTTGACATACTGCATAAAGGTTCTTCTGACATAAGGGCTCAATAATGAATTAATGGAATTTAAATTGGTAGAAACAGTTCTTATTAAGCACACATTTAAAGCATTGATCATAAAATTGAAAGCATACTGTTCCAATTACAGAATCGTTGATCTTTCTTTAAATAATTAGTCCAAAAAAACAGGAAGAAGTGAAAAATTTAAATAGAGCGTAAACCGAGCACAACAATAGTTGAAATTAATTCAAGAAGAACACAGATATTTAGCAATTTCTCTTTAGCATACAAAATAAATTGTTAAGTCCCTCAAATCCTTTTCAAGGTAAATCCTAACTCACAACTCAGCTAACCACTAGATCTCAAAGCAGATTCATAACTGAACTCCCTAGCTATATGACCCATATTTATACCCTGCAGCATGAGGCTCTGGAAACTACTGGAAGAATCAGTCACAGGGCTTTAAAAATGCACTTTCATGAATGTTCCAGAAAAATGCCAAGTTGGCAAAAAAATGCCAAATGTTGGCAACTTGGCAACAAAAATTGACATGATGGCCTTTTAGGAACGAAACTGTCTAAATCACAACTTCTAATTGAGCTATTTTTATAATTCCACAGCCTGTGCACTCAGAATTAAAAGATCTACAATTCTATGCAACAAATAAATATTTAAATAGAAGATATGTGGCCACAAATTAGATTAAACACAAAATAGACCATAAAAATAAAAAATTCTAAAAATAATCAATACAATTCTAAAAACAATATAAAGTATTACAACTATATAGAAAGTCAAAATTGCAATAAAAAAGAATAAAATACTTACTTCAAATATTTAAATAATATGAAAGAGGAGAGGATAAAATGAGAGGTGGTGTAAAATATCATTGCTAAGTGAAAGAAATGGTATTGTATCATGGAAGTCACAATGTAGATTGACAGTCCATAAGAGACTTACAGTAACTACAGACCAAAGCAATCATAGGTAGAAATATAAGTAATTTCCATATTAACAAAATGGAAATTTGGAGAAAATAAAAAGTCAAAAATGAAAATTTTGCATTTATTTGAAAAATAAATAAATGAATAAAAATTAAACAACAATAATTAATTGAGGAAATACAATTCACTGTTTCTGTAAACAAATTACTAATACACAATCTCAGATGAGAGGAAACCAAGCCAAGGTCTCTATTTTGGATGGCAAATTCAAGCACGGGGCTGGAATGTATTTAGAATGTTGTCTAAATTTGCAACAACATTAGTAGTTTTAAAGCCAAGAAGATTTATAATTAAATAACAAAAACCCTTTTAAAGGAACAAACAGTTAAAAGAAACTTAAGTAAAGCCAAACAACTGTTACAGATTACAGCTGTAAATATATGATAAGCCTCTCTTAAGAGGACAACACAGGTACTCTGTCACTGACAATGTCAGTTTGATATTGTCAGTGATGCCTGAAGTGTCAGTGGAGGTGCAGTGGCAAATGAGAAATAGAATGATCGCTTCAGGCTGTCTTATTTCCATGTAATGACTCTTGGAAAATAGAGAAGCACTACAACTATTTTCTAAGGCCACACTAACAAAAATTAACTTTGGACCATCTTTGGACCATAACTTTTCCATAACTTTGGACCAATGAATTAATTCAAATTAATGTACGTCAAGCATATACAATGGAACATCAACATGGACTCTGTTCCAGCATCTCGATAATCAATGCTGCTCAAGACATTAGTCACAATTTTCCTATGTGTGGAGTGTGAATTAATTTTTGAATCTCACAATATTAAACTGTAAGAATGAAATGATTATGTTTAGAACAGTTGCATGTAAAATAACAAAAATAAAATGTGTATGTAAACATAATATTCTGTCTAAAAGAAAGGAAGCAAGGCATTTAGATTTTTTATAGCCAGTCAACAACTTAGCTTGACCTTGGACTTTAGTTGGAATGGTAGCCTGCCTTTTGGATTTATTCTTTTTATTTTTGGGGTTTATTTTGTTCTCTTTCTTAAATATGCTGACTTTTAAACATGGCCACACTATATTTCACAAGATGCGACCATTTAGTTATATATCAGCTCCTACATTAGAGCTCTAGGACTGTCAAGAGTAATTATGTTAGTTTGTAGTTATTCTTACTAAGGCAAGTCCTAATGAATTGTATTTAGGGTAAAAGACATCACAAGCACTCCTAGAAAAGACCCCTCAGAAGCAGAATATAGAAAATACAGCCAAAGATAGAAGTGAACAGGGAAAACAAATAGTAGCTAGGATGAAAAAAAAGCTTCATGGTAGAAGTGAATCGTGAGATCCTGCTGCAACTTCCAATGAAGCAAAGCTTCTAGAGATATTAACATTTCTTGCAATTTGCATGACCAAGATGAAGAATCTTAATCTATCATACCCAGTTTATGAGTCAGCACTTGAGAGCACTTCTGCATCAATCTCAAATGAATAGCCAGAGGATGTGAAGCCAGAATGTAAAGAATCTCCTTACTTGGGGTGAACAGCTGGAAGACAAAAACTTTTGATTTGGCAGATCCACACAGTTGGTGAGTTATAGAAAAAAAGAACAATCAGCAATTATCTTCCTTAAGCAGTCAAGTTGTATTATTAGCTGGAAAACTTTAAAAAAATGTACTTTTAGGTTCACTGAAAGTGACAGCAGGCATTTGACATTTTCTGCATGGTACAGAACACTGGCAAATAATAAGATTTCGGTTTATGCATTCTAAAGCCCAAAACATAATTTTTTGTACACCCTGCAAGATTTACCAGAAATATGTTGCTGCTGCTCCATCAGCACTGTGCACTACAGGATTCTGTATTTCGAAGTTCCCGAAAGATTAAATGGGCAAGAAACATTTGAAATCCACAAAGAGAGCATGATTAAGTGGAAAATTCAAGTATCGAGTATGACAAATGATATCGTGCCAAGGCATCGATCATGGCATTGTACAACTAATTCACACACAGAAAGAAAAATGAAGAGATCCTGCAAATAGTCATAGATGCTGTATTGTATCTCATAACAAACCTTCTTTCCATTGTCTGATGAGACTCCAACAGCCTGCTTACAGAGTATTTTTGGCCTAGTCAAAGAGATTTTTCGAATTTGATGTCTCTAGCTGCCAAACATAATTAAACTCTTAAGTAGCAGTTACAGCACCTGAAAAAGGGACTGACACATTTATTAAAGGCAACCCAGAATAAAATTATTGACATAATGGTGAAAACTGTTTGAAATGGCATTTTAAACATTACGGAAGCCAGACACTAGACAATACTGTTTGACTACAATCCAGATGTGCTTAGGTGATTCAATACATTAAAACAAAATGTGGCGATGAGTGTGAAATACAGGAAAGTTTTATTGATTTCATAGAAGCTGGTTGAAAGACAAAATACCTTTTTCAATGGGTTGTGGAAAAATTGACACTTGATGGTTTGGATTTTGGACAATGTTATGGTCAAACTTATGACAACAGGTCTAGAATTTTAATTTTCATTATTAATGCCATAATAATTTCAACAGTACTACAAGCCAGATAAGAACTTAAAATTACTTATGAACCAGGAAATATGAAAAACAAGACAGGAACTAATCTTTGCCATTTAGTGACAACTTGTATTCTGTATGCAATGACAATGAATGTTGAGAAGCTTAGGGAGTGGCTCCTCCCCTAGATTAGAAAATAAATGGTGGCAAGGACTGGAGGCTTAGAAGCACTCATGGCAGAATTTGAGGCAAGCTCACTGGAGAGGCAGGAACTCTCTTCCCCTGGGAGGCATCGTGCAGGTTTTTAATTATGTAACTTCAGATATGCACCTTTCTTTATAACAAAAAACAGCATATACAGAATTTCTTAGTATAAAATAGATTTTACTTTTTACATCAAACTTTATCCTAAATCTGTGTTCATTAACAAAAATAAAACTTGATAGAGAAACTTGAAGAAAAATGAGCGAGGGTGGTAGTTTTAAGTTTTTGCCCAATCTTGAAAAAACCAAAGTGCTTCTACTGCAATAATATGAGGGAAAAAACTTATCTTTCATCGGCCACTAAAATTAAAAACTCATTTTCTAGTCATTATTTGACTGTGTTTTTCTCAAAATACATGCAAAATGGTATCTATTCACATGTCAATGTATCTCCAGATATAAATTATATGAACCAAATATTATATTACTAATATTAAATAATCAGGTACAGCTGGGTGATCTAATTTATGCAGCAGAATATTGGCTTTCAAACACATTTTTTCATATCCTGAACAAATTCTTTTTTCATTTTCATCCTTTCATCTTTTGGCTTTCTAAATGAACATTACAATATTTACACATCAAGGTATGTATACTTAAGTATAAACTCTTGTGAAAATTCCTTTATTCTACCAATTATTTCCTCTTTGTGGAGACCGGTAGAATTAAAAATTTCAGAATACAGTGTTGAAGTAAAGGTTTAAAAAACATAACAAAAGAAAAATATGCATATTCTTCAGTTTGTGACATGACTCAACTGCCTGAATGAGACAAATGCTACTAAGTGAGTGAGTAGGTATTTATACGAGCCAGGAGAACGTACGGAATTCTGAACAACATGCAGTGGGTCACTGGATAGTGTGTATCACACTACTTAAAAGAATTATCTTTTAATACTTACTTTTCATCAATTTTCACTAAAAATGTTCTAAATCACAAAGTTCTAATCACACTAAATCACAAATTCTGATAAATTTCACATTTACTTTATAAATACAAAAGTTAGATATGTTTAATCATAGGTCATTATACTCAAATACTCAATTTAATTTAAAACAATCAACTAATTAAAATTTAAAACATTAATAATAATGAAGCAAATTCATTCAAAAAAATCATAAACAACTTTTGCATTTATATAATACTGTTTGACTTAGCAATACATTTTATTTCATTCATTCATTTATTTCGTCAGACACTTTAATAAAACAAAATTTTATTGTAATTTAAATGAATATTTCAAAGCTAAAAAAAAAAAAAAAAAAAAAAAAAAAAAAAAAAAAAAAGCGGGGGAAGGGAAATTAAAGCATAATGAAAATAAGAAATGCAGCATATTTTGTAACTTTAAAAATCAACTTATAACTTCTGTGAAACTGAAAACAGTGTACAATTTTATTTATCAGAAGAGAATATTGTTAAACCCTTGAGGACCAGTATGCAAAGGATGAAGTGAAGTCGCGGGACCGAACCCGCCAAAATGGAACATTGCCACCGGCCCAGGCATTTTTAGCAGTTAAGCCTACTTTTACAAAAAAAAAAAAAAAAAAGCATGTATAAACAGCATTGTAATGTAATGACCTCGATTTTTGAAGTTACGTACTTTATATACTAATTTTTAATATTTATTAATATAAAACATATCACATTAATGGAAATAATTGAATTATGTGAAATACTAAAATTATCCTATACACATGAAAACAAATACTATACACAAGAAAACAAAATTACAAATACGAAATGTAAAAGAAAATTAAGCAATAATTATCTGTAGGTAATTAAATTCCAATTTAATAATTCTGCTGTGCATGGAATAATTCCACACGAGGATCAACACATAGGACAATGATGGCTTTTTTCGCTGAGCAAGTAAGATGCATCACACATCAGGAAAGCTGACGTCTTTCCCCTTCTGTAATAATACTGTATTACTTTTCAATTAACCAAGAAATTCTATTTTAAGTTTCAAAATGAATATAAAAAAAGGAAAACTTCTCTGAGTTTTTCCATCACAGAAATTCAGCGAGGTTACACCCATTATAGTCAACTAGATGCATTTCCCCACATTCTCTTAAAAAATAAATAAAAATAAATGAAAACATTGAGCTGAATGAACTTTCCCAAGTTCTAATAATCAAAATGCAAAGAATAAAAAACGAAGACAACAAAAACCAAAACTCCTAATGAAATAAACAGATGCGCTGGTGTCCTTTTAACTTAAACAAGATGTGATTCCCAGTTTGCTTACACCAATAAATCTATCAAAACCAGAAGCACAAAACAGAAACTGCTGCTGGTGCATGAAGGACAAAAGCCACATGACTTAATTGATGTGAAAATTGTTACCATTTAAAACACAATCTACTGGCATTTACAAAAAAAAAAAAAAAAAAAAAAAAAAAAAAAAAAAAAAAAAAACTTCCATTTTCAAGTTATGCATACACGACGCAGAGCTGAAGAGATTGATCGAAGCTCTTCGCGTTTAAGTGACACTGGCTGGTAAGAATAGTACTGTTGTGTCATGCCTACACGACATAGGTTCTGAATATTTAAAAGAGACAATGATGAACTGGTTATTAGCATATATAAGTTTGAAATTTTGAAGGTAATTTGATTTGAAGCTAATTTTTAGTCAGGTAAGAAATGTAAATAGTGAAAATACTTTTCTTTATTTATTAGTTACACTTTTTCTGTGGTTATTATTATTAAAATTGTATTTTTTTCAAACAGAAAACCTCTAGGGAAAACAAATTCATCTTATTTTAAATTTATAAGAAAACAATTTTAAAATTTTGTTCTATAGCTGAAAAATAATACATACACAAATTTATGACAGAGAAATTATATAAACTTCGGATACGAAAAAAATTAAGAAACAAATTGTAATCTCACATTACCTCTAGCAATAACAGTCCTTCTGTTTGTTCCATTTAAATCAGCAACAGCAATATAATCCTCTTTAGCATCTGCCCAGAAGATTTCTCGGGTGACATAGTCAATAGTCAAGGCATTTGGCCATCCCAAAGACTCATTTATAAGCTTTGTAAACTGACTGCCATCCATTCCAGCTTTCCCAATGTATGGTTTATCACCCCAATCAGTCCAATACATGTAACTGTCCAGTTGAAAAAACAAGTTATTTGTACATTTATAAGAACAGCTCATTTATAAGAATACACAGTTTCCCAGTCAGCCATTAAACAACAACCTATTCATTCATTTTACTGTCTTCAAATATGATTTTATGAAAGAAAATGACATTCAGTATCAACATTTAGAAAGAAACAAATTCATAACACACCTAAGCTAAAAAAATTTCAATACTCAAACTCAAAAATTTGTATTTAAAATCCCTACAAAGACAGTCCACAGAACCTGAAAAAAAGACATTTTTTGTCAGATTTTACTTGTAAGGCATGTAAGGTTTATTTTAATATTTATGTAAAGTTTAGTTTAAATCAACATGTAACATTTTGTGTTAGTTCAGCCCTGTACTTTTGCTTTTTCCATTTGCCTCATCAGATATATAAAATTGATGGAATTTAAATGCTGAGTGAAGAAGCAACTTGACGAAATTAAGGGAAAACATTTGGCTATGCACCTGAAGAGTTGTTTTTTGAATGATACATTCTTGTTAATTATGCTGGTTTTAGTGAATGATTTCTGCCATTTGATAATATTTATTCTCAGAGGCTGTGCATAATAAGCAACTGGGTTGATGTGTGTTAATTTTTTTTATTTGCAATGTTAATATTTCAACTTGTTACATTCAACCATCTTACAAAGAGCAGTGATTATGTTAAATTTTTACTTCTAACCACAAATTTGAAATGAATAATATTTTAGCAATAATATTATTAATATTACTACTGCTGCCACTCATTAATATCCTAGATTTCATTTTAAAATGTGCAAATATGATTAATCTTCTGCGACATGGGAAGATTTCACTAACATTAAGTACATTAACTTCCTGACTACAGCCAATCTTCAGTAAAACTACACTTCCATATCATATACCTTTTATTTTAGTACTAATATAACCCTTCTAATTAGTTCTAATTTCAATTTAATGTGTTAATTACTTTATTGATAACTAATGACAAATACTTTTTAAGTGCCTTATGCACAATTGCTTATCTCATGTGCAATAGCGCACATAGAAACTTTCCTAAAATGACACCCTTCATTTTGTGCAAATACTTCCCAATTAATCAATCAGCTAATTACAGTGTATAAGAATGGAACAAAATCGATAAGTAAATATACAACATGCGTGAAACAACATACTATTCTACTTATACATATTATCACACACTAATTTATTCTAATGAATTAGATACCTCATAAGATCTATCGCTTCTTTTCCACATAAACTAATCTAGATCCTACATATGAACCTGGTAAATTTTTGCACAAGTATGAAGTAAACACTAGCACAGAAGAAGGGTGAAAATAACTCTTTATCATTCCCAATTAATAACAGAAAGGCACGTACTTAGTACTTTACAACAACACCGAGAACTTGTGGTGGAACTCAAAATGTTATAACATAAATCAATGTTATAACACATTGATTTATGTTACAACATAAAGTCTAAATAGAATAGTGCTGGATTAGCACATTAAGTTACAGCTAACTTAAATTCACTCAACAAACCTAACAGGTGTGACAGTTATTCGAAATGGTCATGGGACGTATTAGCGTAACAGCAAGATCAGCATTGAAATGTGTTCTGGCTAGCGGAAACATGTTCTGAATAAACCCCAAGATTCACTCATTTAACCTTCCAGCTCGTGAGCTTGGCAATTTTACATGATCACGCGTGTGTCGTATTTTTTATGACATCCATTATTTTACCGTTTTTGGCACGAAAAATGACAGAAATGAGCGAATATTGACAATAAATTTGTTAAGAAATAAAATATTAATCTTATTATTGCAAAATACAAATGATATGACATTCAAAATATAAGTAAATTATTTTTAAGTTCTTATGTTAGTGAGATTGAAATGCAATGGATGTATTTCATTATAGAAAATTTAAAGTTTATTATTTAATAATTATATTTTAAAATCAAAGCTAATTTTAATATTCATCAAAGACAAGAATAGACAAATAAAAAAGGAAAACACCTTGGTAGGAAAAAAATAAGTTTAGCATTACTTACTTCTGCAAGGAAATTTACTTCTTACTAGTTACAAAAATACACTTTAATGTTTTTATTTATTTATAAAAAATAGAAATAAAAGTAAATAACGAATGGAAATTGCTATTGTTCTCCCATCCAAAGGTTTTCTTGTCTTCCTTTTCTTCATCAGATAATTCTTGAAGAATCAGAGCAAAATCAGCTGTTTGCACATATTTTTTTGCCATGAAAACCGATATAAAATTTACAGAGCCAAATGTATTCAAATTAAAATAATACATGCCAATTAATAACACAAAATTACAAAATATTCGAGAAAAAAAAATATTTTTCCCAAATTTTACAACACGACCACACGCACGTCGTAACTTTCATGAAAAAGCTGCCACGTAGCACAAAAGCACAGTTAAAAAAAAAAAAAGTCAAATGACTTCCTGTTGGCACATTCCATGACGTGGGGAAGGGTAGAAAGGAGGAATAGAAATGACCTTCAGACGTCTCAGCTTCGATATGCGAAAAAGGTGCATTAAAAACTGAATTTGTTGTAAATTTTGCGCATACGTGTGTGCTCAAAGATTAAATACTCACTTCACTTAACTTTAGATTTACATCCTGGCAAGGAAATGCAATGGAAAATTGAGGAGTTTAGGAAAAATAATAAAATTTGAATAAAAGCTTAGTTAACTTAAGGAAACCCTACAACCTTAAATTTTGCAAAAGTTATATATATATATATTATTATATACCAGGGGTTCTTAATCAAGTGTCAGGCGAGGAAAACTGTCAGTCTTCTATTTACCTGTTAGATTTTTTGTTTAAATTTATGAACTTAAATACACACTTTTTCAAGTTTTGGAATTTATCCACATTTTCTGAATTCTTCCTGCTTTAAATTATGACAAACATGTAAAAAACAATCTAAATTAAAATATATGTATACGTACTTCTTGAGTTTTGGAAAAAGGAGGATGTGTTGCAAGTGGCAAAAAAAGCTTGAGAATCACTGCTATAGACAATTTGCCTATTTATTCAAAGATACACTCCCCCCCAAATGCAATATAATTCTGATAATTTGCAGTTGCTGAAACCACAAATGTTTGTAATCTGCATTCAGTTTTGAATGTAAATAAAGAAAATTTAGAATTTTGTAAAATTCAGTATGGCAAATTTTATGGTAAATTTTTCTTACGTGAACATGGAAAAATAAAATCTATAACAAAATATTTTGATCAAGAAGTGAATTTATTTTATTATATGAATTACCAAGCATTTTCTACTTTTGCATCAGCACTCTCTTCTTATAATGAATGCAACCTCCAGTGGCAACTCTCTTACTACTGAACAAAATTAGCTGTCACAAGTCACTTTTTATTCAAAAAGAATTCCATGATATGTTATTCCATTTATAATATCACTTAATACATACAAACAAATGTAAAACACACCTATCAATTAGGATAAATACTACAATTTATTAGGAAGACACATTTAAGCAATTTACAAATTCAAGTTGGTAAAGGTTCTTGAAAACATTATTTACATAATTTGGAGGATTACCATACATGACATGCTGATAAACCAAAACATTTTGACCTTTGACCACCCTCCGAACGCTATGCTGCACCATCTTTGGCATGCAAAACAAATGCAGCACACCAAGGCATGTCCCTGATAAGTGTCCAGATTCGCAAGAAGAGGTCACGCAATGCCTATATGAGGATGTGGCTGGTGTCTGAGCTGGCGCTCAGTAGCATCCCAGATGCACTGAATAGAATCAATATCCAATGAAGCAGGAGGCTAGGGCATCAACTGGAATTTATCAGGATGCTTCTGGAGCACACTGGCGATGTGATGATTTTCTGCAGAATAGATGATTCCTGCTGAAATGATGATAGGGAAAACAGAAGCCATGAAAGAATATAAGTGATCAGTAGTGACATTCTTATAGTCTGCAGCTGCCATCTGGTATTCAGCAACAACCAGAAGCCTCAAGAACATCCATAAGAACATGACTTAAAATTTAATACCTCCACTATCAGTTGTTGATGTCCTGTACAGCTGTGTCGGTTAATTGTTCTCTGAAGAGAAGATGTACCCTGACATGGCCATTTATGTGATGTAAAAAAAATCATAATTCATCTGACCAGGCAACTCTTTTCCATTGTTGCAAAGTCTAGTCACAATGTTAATGGGCTCACTGTAGTCATAAATGATGTTGATGTTGTGTTATCAGATGCACATGGCAGGGGTATATGTCATTGAATCCTCTATGTAACTAAATCTGATGAACTGTGCACTCACATATACTAGTATTTGTGTATTATACTAGTACTATTTATACTAGCACAGCATTCAGCTGCCAGTTGAGCCACCTCCAGTCACCTGCTTGTGTTTTTCAAGTAGGTCAGTCTTGAATGTTTTCATTCATTAATCATTAGTGGATGTCCAGTTGCATCAGCATTTACTACCAGTTTCACCATTCTTCTTCTGCTTTTCGTAATTACAAATAAGAGCAGTTCACAAACATCTAATAAGCAATGTTGTTTGAGATAAATCATCCTAGCCTTTGGAATATCACAATTTAATCTTAATCATATCACTTAAATCAGTAACCTTCCCCATTGCCTATATAACTGACACAATAATGGCCCAGAATCTTTGCCAGCTAATAAGTAACACTCCTTATTTATCAAGTGCCATCTACATCAAATTGGGAAGCCCATTTTCATGTTGTAAAAGTCATAAAGTTTTGACCGAGCAGTATAATGCATAAAAGTTTTCTGCACGAGAGAAAATTTTGCAGTATCTCTTCGTTTTCATGTTAGAGGATCTTTTAATTTCTCTTAATTCAAAAAGATAAAAATGCAGTTATACAGAGTGAATCTGAACAAGTGGGCAAAACTTTAGGGGGTGATAGAAGGCAGCTATACAAGCAATATTTGTCATATAATGTATGGTCACAAT